TAAAAGTCAGCTAAAATTATGGGGAATCTCTGATGAAACTGAGTGATGAATTTTAGGTATGAAAGAAAGGTTCAGAAAGCAGATTCTAGGAGGTAAATGGAGAAACACTGAATTTCCCAATTCTACTACATGGTCTCCTCAGTGATTGAGTTCTTGTCCCCAATTCCTGGACTATCTTATCTGAGAATTTCGTGCCAAGAAATTGTGCTGCTAATACTCAGAGCAAACACTCTTTGGAAGCGTCTCTCCCCGCTTTCTCTCCCATCCACATCTAATTCACTAGAAGGTTGTCCCCACCTTCACAGAGTATCCAGAACCTGATCATTTCTCACCCTGTTGCCTGTGGCTGCCAGGCAAAGGCTTCCAGACCTGTCACACCTCCCCATAGTCGCCAAGCACTGTCCCTTCCTGGGATCTTTAAACACGCTCTTTTCTCTGGCTGGAATACTCCTTGTCCACTTATTCTTGTACTCACTTCTCATTTTATTCAGGATTCTAAGGACTTCCCGGGCACGGCACTAAAATGGCCCTCTGTCTCTCTTCCCTGCATTTTCTGATGCCATGTTATGTATTGATGCCTCTCTCCCTGTCTGCCCTGTGGAAGGTAACCTTGCCAAGGTCGGCAACTTAGCCTTGCTCACTGCTGTGCATTTCTGCCGTCAGAAACGGCGTCTGGCACCTAGAATTACTTATTAGGAGAAAGGATGAATGAGCGCACGGCTGGGCTAAGTGAGTCACTTATTATTTGGGCAGGCCTATTTCTTTTTCTAGGGAGTCCTGACCTTTCCGTCCTTCCTGCTGTCAGTCTGCCACACATATGTTTACGTGAACGAAAATGTCCTTGTAGGAATTGTTTTCCCTGGGCATTCAATATTTGAGTTCTCAGCGTTCCCCTTTTCCGAGGTTCGAGTTCCAGAGGGGCTGATTGTACATGGTCTCACTAATAGTGGGGACTGGAGTTGTTCTCAGGTGTGTGGATAATGGCAGGTTTACCTAAGATTCCGAATCACCGGGGAGAAATGTGGGGAATTTGATCCCAGGGCCTTGAAAAGGCATTTTTTTTCTTCAAAAAAGTTGTCTGCTGTGACTTCAAGCGGGATTTTCAACTTTTATAATTACAGATTCTGTTATGTGTATTATATTTTGTTTCTCTTATTAACTTGCAATTATTTCCTGAATGTACTATAATTTGACCCTGTGTTACTATGGTGCTCTAATTAGAAAATGATTGACTATAAAATATTCCCAAATTGTGTTTGTGTTTGAACCGGAAGGAAAGTTGTTTTGGCAAGGTGGAATCTTGGTCGGTTGTCACTGGCAGTATCTTTGACCCCAACAGAGGACTTGTTGTTTGTTTTGTTTTTGCTTCAGTCTTGGGAAACACTTCCTCAGACCAAGACTAACACTGGCTTGTCCTCAAAACGACAAGACTGAGCTGAATTTGCTGTATGTCCTCTGATCAAGTTTCACTGGTTTGCAGTCTACCAGCTCGTCATTTCATTAAGCTAATACGCTTCAGAATCCGATAAACCTGACTCGGAGTCCTGCTCTCCCACTCACTGAAGCATGCGATCTTGGGAGACTGCTTAGCCTTTCTGCGGGTCCTCCCGCTTGTAACAGGGGAAGTACTGTTTTCCTCACGGGGCTGTCAGGGGTCAGTGAAGCAGAGCACCTACCTTTGTGAGTGCGCTGTGTGCCAGAGAGCGAGCGTGCAGAACACACTGTTGCCATTATTACTCTGGGGATACGTTGTGATACCTTAGCGGTGGAAGGAAGGAGCGCCTTGTCGATCCTGTTCAGAAGGACCCTTTGACCAAAGCAACGGCCTGCACATCGCGCTGGTGAGGAACTGCGGGGATTGTCTGACTTCTTTCACCCACGGCCGTCCACTCTACTTGAGCCATTTCCACACTCCATTTCAAAGCACTGCTCATTCAGAGCAGGTGGGACTCTGGCCTTTGAGTCCCCATCTTTCTCTCCTGAACAGAAGGACGGAACGAGGATGTGTTGAATAGCATCAAGCTGTGGGAGGAAGTAGAAAAGACCTGGCCTTTGAATGGACTTGGCTGTTGGCAGGAGTGTCCCAGGCCAGCAAAGCCAAGTTGCTCAGAGGCTGGAGCACTGTCACCGTGACAGCTTCTGCAGGGGAAAGCCAGGAAGGCTGAGCTGAGTGGACCCCTTTGATGTCATTCTGTCAGGTCCTCACGACACCTTCCTAGGCTGCTGGAGCTCAGGATGATCATTTTCATGGCTACTGGGCGTTTTGTGACTAAACATAGATAGCCCTTTTGAAACACTGAAGATGAAAGGATGAGAGAAGACTGTGAAAAGACCCTCCTTTGAGAAAGGAGTGCCGGAGTCTACTGGTGTGTTCTGTCCTCTGCCAAATGACCATGAGCGATGGCAGAACACACCACGTTTCTTAGAGAACGTGTCGTTTGCAAGGGAATGGAATTTGTGTGTCTGTTTTTAATGAGCCACCAGCAGGGTTTTTGTTACCTTGTACAAAACCGAAGTCATTACACTTTCTTTTCCATTTTCTCTTTAATGACTTCCAAAATTCCTCCATTGCTAATTCTTACAGGGTCATGGTAAAAGCAGTTCCGACAGCCGAGGCTATTCCTGTCTCACAAGCAAACAAATGACTGTGACTTGCTTTGATTCTGAACTTCGTTTTCTTTATGCTTTTTGCTGAACGTTGATTGCTGGAAGTTACACAGTGGCATTCCTGAATCTCTAATATTAGGACTTTGGAGAAAATCAGTGACAACCTCATCAATACAATGGGAATTGTGTGTGCATAAGTGTGTGTTTTTCTGTGGCAGCAAGGGAGCACAGTCACATGGAGAAGGACATAGGAAGAAAGGGAATTTATATTTATTGAATATTGATTATATGCCACATTCAACGTTTGCATTATTACCCTCATATTACGGATGAGTAAACAGAACTGGGCCAAAGTTCTGTGGACTAGTAAGTGGCGAGGCCCCGGTCAGTCTGACGTGCAAGCTGCCTGCTGCCTACACCACACTGCCCGCTGTTTGCCTATTGTATTTGCTGTCCCGGGAGCCAGGAGTCAGCTGCTGAATCTCACCCCCTCCTCAATAGCCGGAGAGCTCTGGTTGTAGGGAACCTGTGTAGGAAGGCAGTTGGAAATGAGGACTTGGTCACCATCTACTCCACCACACCCTACCTCCCTGTGTCTTGACCTGGAACTTCCTTTGCCGTAAGATTCAGAGACAGGACGAACTAGCCTCGTGCCTGAGTGACCACACAGACTACGAGAAGGACGGCGACTGGGAGTGAGGAGAAAGGGCTCAGGAGCAGCACCTCTGGAGAAGGACCGCCTCTGGGGAGAATCAAATCTCTGCCATCTCTCACGTCCAGGAATTAGAAACGTACTTACTGCCTTTATTCACCGGCACAAGGAAGACATGGACTCTGGACTCCAAACTCTTGCCCAGCCCTTCTCCAGCCTTGGAAACCATATGAAAGTGGAGAAATGAGGCAGAGGGGGCGTTTGTTACAGCGAATCCCCAAGCGTTGTCCAGGTCTTTTTCCACAGTGGTCTCTTCACAAGACTTTGACTCTCAGCTTTCAACCCTTTTACAATGATGATATTTATTACGAAGGGGTTGGTCGCTCTCAGATTTCTTAGAAATTTGCCTCCTGACTTGGACATCTGTTATTGGATTTCAATTTTTCTCTGGTTTCTATAAGGCTGGGGTCTTGGTAATGTGTGCTTATTTTTTATTGCTGTTTGTTTTCTTTTAAACAATCACAAAGCTGAGGATTTCCCCCCGAAATCTGAAATGGGACAGCAGACACGGAAGAGTTCTTGGGTTTTGTTTGTTGTTTCGGAAGTTAATGACTCTGTTGGTCTTTGTGTGAATGCCATAGAATTGTACACATACCGTGGGCTTGAGGAATGCTGTGGTGACCCACAAAAGGAGATTCTGTCAGAAACAATTCTCCAGGGATGAGTGTGGTGTTGTTATGGTTGTTTGTTTTCTACCAGTTGTGTGCAGACTCCATTGTGTTTTCACTCCGACTGATATGTGTGTGCATGAGTGTGCTTTTTTCTATTAATATGTATCTTAACCAGTTACAAGCCAGGAGGACATACTGCAAAGTCAGTTTAAATAACAGCATGTCTGCGTATATAAAAAAAGTGCCATCAATTAAACATTAGCGCTACTCTATTAACTCATTTTTTTTAATATGTGTACCTTTCTCCCAGTAGGGTCAAAAATGTAGAAATACACCCTGGCCAGTTTGGCTCAGCGGTTAGAGCATCAGCCTGCAGACCAGAGAGTCCTGGGTTCGGTTTCCGCTAAGGGCACGTACCTCGGTTGCAGTTTGTCCCCCACCCCCGTTGTGGTCGTGTAGGTGGCAACCACTCAGTGTGTCTCTCTCACGTCAATGTTTCTCTCTCTCTCTCTTTGCCCCCCCCCTCCTGCTCTATCTGAAGATAAATGCAAAAAAAAAAAAAAAAAAAAAAGTAGAAATACTTTCCTTTATCAAGAAAGTTATAAAGCTGGAGGTCATTTCAGTCTATTTAAATTAATATATTTCCAACTTCATAATTCAAACAGTATCCTACTAATTAAAAAAAGAAAGGCCAAATTTCACACAAAGTTATCTGGAATGTTGTGAAATGAAACCCCATTACAGCTCAGCTGCTGTGAATTAGGCTCATTTGGTTCCCATCTCCGTTTACTTCCTTACATTCTTACAGCTTCAAAGCTGAGAAGATTCTGCGATTGAGGCAGATTTCCTTCCTTTCCCCCTCTCATCCTATGAGGCTGCTGTGATTTTTTTCTCTAGGACATTACAGGGATTTAGTATTCAAAGCTAGTAGACTTCTTTATCCATAGGCAAAGATTTGGCCCTAGAAAGAGAGATTATTATGCACAGTTGGTGCCATGACTTAAGTTTTCTCTAGAATTTTATATTATCCTTACTTCTTCTTCTTCTTTTAAATTAACCAAACCAAACAGGTATTCCTGGAGGACTTCTGAGTGGAAAGAATGCCAAGTGTCTCTCCTTCTGGAGCAGCAGGACCCCCACTGGCATGAGTCGGGACCCGTGTGTGGCGGTGGGATCCAGACCCGGGAGGTGTACTGTGCCCAGAGCACGCCAGCGTCCACCGCACAGAGGACCAAGGAAGGTAGGCAGCCAGTTCCAGGGACAGATGGTGCCGCTGATCACAGGGGAATCAACTCCAACCCTCTCTCTTCATAGTCTTCTGGATACAATGGACTCTCAGCCTTCACAAATTTAATATTTGTTTTGTTGACTATTTGCACATTATTCCTAAATGCTGCTACTTGCACTAATATGGAATAGTTAAAAACAGTAGTAATCATAACACCGCCAGCCTCAAAGAGTCACTGTGAAAGTGAAATTAGAAAATAGACCCAAGATCTGCAGCACAAATGATTACTGCACTCTGAGAGGCTGGAGTGAGTCAGTTAGTAGAGAATGAGTAGTAGTATCGTTTTGTTTTGTTTTTGTTAGTTCCCAAGAGTGTTGTGTGTGTGTATGTGTGTGTGTGTGCATGTGAATTTGTGAATGTAGGAATTTCTACAGAGGTATCACTTTTAAATGTCAAGGCCAATGTCAATCGACTGTCAAATTGACAATTTTAGATTTTATGAGAAGAGGAGAAAGAGAAACAGTTTCCTCCACGGTAGGCTTTTGACTGGGCAGGTGTGACCTCCACACTAGCCCCTTTGTTTCAGAGTTTGGGATCGTGAGAACATATAGAGGCAGAAAAACTGGCACAGACTTATTTAAGTCAAGAGATTGAAAAGTCAGGAGTAGACGATAATGCTTCTACTCTAGTAGAAGGTGTGACCTGTTCCAACCACACTGGAGAACACAGCAGAGCCCTGTGCAGAGTGGTCAACGTGCGAGTGTTCCCTTGGGTGTGCACATACATTCTTTCTTGTGGAATTTAGTTAAGGACGTAAGATGCTCATTTTCTTGCTATGGAAATGCATCCATTTTATCCCGTAAAACTTTTCATATCAGGTGCCTTTTTTTTACGTGGCCTTTCATTGTTCCAGGGGCATGTGTGACCATAGCCTTGGGTGATACATAGAGGAATAATCATTACAGACTCCTTAGCATTTGCTTCAACAGTTGAAGTTGCTACCACATTTATGGAGCTAGGGTTATTTTAAAAGGGATAGTTAAACCTTAATGTCGCTGTGGAAAATGACAATTTACACACATTCTGTTCCAGGACCAAACATGACTCTGCTTACTCCTCTGAACTTGGAAGAAGAGAATTTAGATAAAAAGCTCCAGCTTATTCTTTCAGACTTTGGTGATCTTTCTATCCCACCTTCTCCTTCTCACCTTTTCCTATTATCTTCAGTTCTAGGATATTCAGGGGTCAACACATAAATGAGAATTTATGACCTACCTATTTTCAGCTTCAACTTTTAATCTTCTTTTGACATGTTAATCTCCCTGAAGTTTCTTTAGTAAAAATAGCATTACTGCCCACCTGGTGTGGCTCAGTGGTTGAGCGTTGACCCATGTACCAAGAGGTCACTAATTCGATTCCTGGTCAAAGCACATGCCCAGGTTGTGGGCCCGATCCTCAGTGGGGGGTGTGCAGGAAGCGGCCAATCAATGTTCTCTCTCATCGATGTTTCTCTCTCTCTCCCTCTCCCTTCCTTTCTCTCTAAAATCAATAAAGAAAATTTTTTTTTTTAAATAGCTTTATTTATAGATCACCTCTTTCTAAAGTTTCTTCAACCTTCATCTTTCCAGCTTCTTAGTGGACACATGTTGAGCAGGAAGATGGTATTTAGGAGGCAGGTGTGGGGAGTGTGTTCTAGAGTGAGAGTGCATGTGAGCGAGGCGGCTATGCAGAGGAGGGGGTTAGTACAGGGTTAGCAGCCTGTTAGACCCTACAGTTTGTTTCCTGCATGTGAAGAAGAGGGAAAAAAATCTTAGGCCAAGTCACATTTTCAGATTCATATGTAGGCTCACATGGAAACAAAAGGTACTTAGAAAACCCTAAGCCTGGTAGCCCAGTTCTTGGAGGTGTTATGGGGTTGGGAGGGTCTTAGATATGGGACAAGATGTAAACACATCTATGTATACCAAGACCATTACTCTTTTTAAAATATATATATAGTTTTATTGATTTTTAGAGAGAGAGGAAGGAAGGGAGGGGGAGATAGAAACATCAATGTGATAAACATCGATTGGCTGCCTCCTGCATGCCTCATACTGGGGATCAAGCCCACAACCCCGCAAGTGCCCTGACTGGGTATTGAACCAGGACCTCTCAGTCCATGGGATGATGCTCAATCCACTGAGCCACACGGCCGGACAAGACCATTACTCTTGCACAGAGTTGAACACAGTGAGTCAAACTATTGCTGCACTGGAAAATGAAGCCCAGTCACAATTGCCTTAAAGGCAAAGCTTCCTCTTTTCTTTGTAGATATTAACAAAGGTTTTATTTTGCTCTTGTGTGGAAGTGAACCAGAAAGATTGTTCAACCATTACTTTTCTTCTTTATAAATGCTTTACTTTCCTACAGTTATCACTTATAAACCTTGACAAATTTGGCAACATGGAAATTTTTCTTAGCTCAAATTACACATGAGAATAATTGAATTGCCATTGTAAGGGACTAATGAGTATATTTGTCCAATTAAAGCGACAGAATTTAAATATTTCTAACCTTTTCTGCTAATGCAGAAAGAAGGCCAAAATGGATGACAATTTCCATTTTCGTGAACATCTTTCATTATTATTACTATGTTGGATTTTGGAGGGAAAAATAATTTTAATGGCATTGATTTTGGAAACTCTTTTCTCAGTCACAGTTGACTTTCCCAAAAGGTTAATTTTTTCCTTAGGCTCCAGGATTGTCTGTTCAGTCTCTGGATTGGAATTGCTTGACTTTTCTTCCCTGCGAAATTCTGCCATTCACTATGAGTTCGCTGCACTGCTTTCTAAGAACCTGATCTTAGATGAACCCACGATCCTGTGGGGTTCAGGGGGTGGGAGAAAAACACAAAAACAAAAAAGTTATTTCTATGGATCTCTCATGCAATAAAATGCAATAGAAATTCTAGATGGCAGAATAGGAGTAGGGAAAAAATGCTAATTCTCTCTCTAGGGCCTCCAAGTCTCTTGCTGAGGCTGAATTTTGTTCTGTGGCAACTTATTCTTGCTGATATCCCAGTCTGCATTTGACCTCAATTCATGTTGTTTGTAGGAATAGTATAATAAAGCTATGACATATTTGTTCAGTGTTCATGTGATGTTTTAGCTGCAGCCAAAATAGTACTGTAACAATCAATATAAGAAGGATTACCAGTAATAGTAGCCAAGCCAATAGAATTGGGGATAAAAGTCTAGAGGGGTATTTATGATTTTGTTTACCACTTATTGATGTAGAGAGAATTGTGTTTCTCTTTTATAATTCAGAAGCACCAACAAGAGCGATGTGTACCTGCAAATCTAAAAGCTTGGCTTTGTTGAGGCCATTTTCTTTTGCCCTTTTCTCCAATGAAATTAAAGTCACTTAGCCTGCATTCAAGGGTGATTTCTCAGAATGTAAAACATTGAAACAAGGAACACACTTTTAAAATCTAATAAAGACTGGGACACATGCATTCTATTATGACAATGTGGCCTAGAGACTAGAATATCAACGAACAGGGTGAACCAGCATAGAGACAGAATATATCCATTAGGTGAAGGGAAGATAAAACGAAACACCCCACAGAAACTAAATAAAAAATTAGGAAAGGTATCAGTGTGGTTGTAGTTAAGTAGGACACTACTGTTTTTTTGTTTGCTTTTAAATTTTAGATTCATTGTTTGACTTCAAATGGACAAAGCTATTTTAAAAGAGGAGCACTCTGCAGCTTTGAATTGTTGAGTAGATTAGTACACCCCCCACACTCCAGGAAGATTCAGCGGTTCTTAAAAGGCCCAAGTCTTTATCCTGTTGGGCCCAGAGTTGATATTAAGGGAGTGCATGATCAGATAATGGAATGTTCTGGAATGCTTAGTACTATATGAAAACTTAGTATATTTTTGCTCTAACTAGTTGTATGGAGACTTAATCTGCTTTGGCTCTGGGTTTAAATCTGACCTGCATGGAACTTGGATAAGTCACACAAATGTTGTTCCAGTCTTCTGGTTCATTAAATTGGTTTTAAATATATTGATGAGGTGAGTAAAAGGTAGATGGCAATGACACAGTCTTTCTTTTAATAATTCACGTACCAGCTATGTTTTAGGCTATGTGTTGGACACTGTTATTATCAAGGTGCCCTTCATTAATTTATAGTCTCTTAATTGGAATGGAAATTGAAATAACAAGTAGGTTAGTGTGTCTCAGTAATGTGATCATTATATGTATGTGTATATGGGGTGGGGCAAAGATATGTGTACAGTTGTTCATATGGAAAATAATGCAATAATTAATAATAATAATAATACAAGAATAAGCTGTGTGTTTCACATACACACAATGGAAAGACCTACTTTTGCCCTACCCTGTGTGTGTGTGTGTGTGTGTGTGTGTGTATCTATCTCATGGTTAAACCATGGTATAATTATGCCCGAGGGTGATCTTCATCAAGGAGGCGATACTGAATGAGAGTTTGGAGCATCAACAGGAAAGACTGCTGGAGCAGGGCAGGGAGGACACATGGAAAAGCAGGGAGGTATATTCCCTCGTGGCCCGCACACTGCCTCAGGCGAGCTGGGGAGTAATGAAGTTAGTGAGACTGGAAAACTCGGCCTTTGGGCTACTCTGGAGGTAAGACTCTTCCTGAGACTAGGTACCCACTCAAGTCTTCTTCCCTCTGCAGGCTTTTAAGCATAGGAGAAATCTCATCTTTGTAGCTGGATCTAAAAATTTAGAAATGTCAGTACACTAAGAAAATTTTCAGGAGCGGTCATGTCCTATTCTTATCTGATTATCCAAGAAGATTTTAGATATGAAATAAAGTATTTTCTGAACAGACGAACAGATTTCTTAAGAAGCGGTTGAAGGAGATACTTCACCATCATTTGAACAGGTGTTCTTTACCTATCTTTAGAAATTGGTTCTAAAGTCAATAAGCTCATTTGGGTGTGAGACTAAAGTGTCAGGAAAATAATGCACTTAGAACTTCTCTT